TATACGTGGCTGAAAGCGGGGTAAAAGATACAGTAGTAACAGTACCCGTGTAAGCTGTATTGTCCTTTGTAAGACACTGTCCTGATTGAATATCACACTTCTCATAATCGTCCCAGTGTTTTCCAGATTGGTCGTTCTCTTCGAGCTGAATCTTGTTTTTCTTATAACACAACGTGCCATATCACACAGGTGAGGGGATGTAGTTGCTCATGTTTCAACGTATCAGGGCCCAAAGTTTCACCAGATGTCTTGTGACAGCGTCAGTTTCGACTGTGTGACCACCATTTAAAGCATCTGCTGTATCCAATGCAGATCTCAACATGACAAAATTTTGGGATCCGTCAATTTTTTTCCCTTCGCATTACTGTTCTGATTGAGTTACGAATATCTTACACCCGCGATACGGACCGTTTTTTCCGTAAATTAACTGTTTTGTGGTTCAATTAGTCGAATCACAAATACCAGATCGAAATAAGACGAGGAGTATCAGAAAGGAGGATACTAGAACACAGGGTATCAGAAAGTGCATTCCCCTTCTGCAATTTCAGCTCATGAGTATCTTAGAAGGAGAAACTGTAGTAGGAAAGGGTTTTCCGTTCTAGTACCCTTTTTCAATATCTGTGATCGGTGAATGGTCAAATTTGTGGGACAATCGGAACATATACATTTCACAGACTTCTGCTGTATGAGACCACCAACTTCATTGTATGACTCGTCCCCTATATCCACCGGTTGAGAGCATGATGTTGTAGTACAGAGAGAATATTAGTTGTGTTCTCCTCAGTCAATTCTAAGATGCTCCACTTGAATGCTCTTAAAGCTACTCAATCTCTCTTCATCCTTCCTTTGATCAGATGTAAAAGAAAGAAACACTATATTTCACTTTCAGTTATACCCTGACACGAAATTCCAGGATGGCTTCCATAGCAACAGATTCCGAGTTGATGACCAACTTCATTGCGGCAGTCCCAGTCCCAGCAGGAAGTCATTTCGACACGGTCCTGGATGAAAACAGACGACCGCTCGTCTTTTGTCTCAACCAAGAAGCGGTCCCCAAACTTCAAATCAGTATATATCACCCATCGTTGCAAGTTCATCGCTGACATAATAGTTCGAATCGGAAACAACAATGCACCTGTGGTCTTTGATCTCGGGCCATGCATTTCTCTTCCTGCAGCGGCGATAGTCCAAACTTTTGAAGTTCAGCAGGCCAACGACTTGACCCTGTATCTCTGTGTTGCATATCAACAGTCGGCTACAAGTTCAAGCTTGATCGTTCCTCTGCCATTCAGACCGGATCTATTGAAAAGTGATGTTAGGCTACCTATAATTCCTAGTTCACAATCTAGCATTGGAACAGCTGTGAAAATTTTCATGGTACGTTTTGATCATTCGCCCCTCCCCTCTGCTGATTAGTCTTTTCGAAGATATGCAGATCAACTGGAACACATGAAGTCCTTAATAACCTATCCTTTAGAGTCCGGTTGCAGCTATTTCGACTCTTCCTTTCCCTGACACATTCGTCATTCACAACACCCTCGATCAATTGGCATCCTCGGGAACAGATATCACACGCATCGTCTTCGATCCACAAAACTATCAGTGGAATGCGATGCAAGATATGACAACCCCTGAAAACGCCTCCACGATTTTAGATGTGTCAACAGCTAGCGGGATTTTGGGACGGGGAATGTATGTGCTTTACAAGAGTCAAGAAGAAGGTCCGACAAAGTTATACGTCCGACTTATGAGGTTGAATCCGGATACAAATGATGGTAAGTGAGGCTGCTAATTTATGAAGTGTCGTTTCGGAATAATTTCCATCGCTTAACAAACATGCAAGCTGACTCTTTGTACCCAAAGGATCTCGACTCACCAGTGTGGCATCTGTGGCATGTCCTTCAGATGCTCGCTGCATCGCTTCAGTCTTTAACGGAGGAGGAAAATCCGGTTTGCTGATTGCTGCGCCCGATGGTTTACGATATCTCAATGCAATAGAGTCGACCCAGAAGAATTCTCCTGGAACACTGGTCCAGTCCACCTCTATGTTTCGCAACATAACGAGCTTGGTGGTGAAACAAGATGGAAATCATGTCTCCATCTGGTTTCAGACCTCTTCTGAAGAACTCGGTTATCTTCGAACAACCAACGATCAGTTGAGTTCTGGTATCTCCACCTTGTTGATGCCAGCTGGTCAATCGTCTTCATTTGCACCCTGCATCTCCCAACCAGATAGTGTAAATGGTCATTTATTGTGGCAGATGCTAGTATCCAATGACAACTACGGCAATCTGACGCTCTTGGAACAGGCAAGTGACAGTGGCCTATGGAGGCCAACTCCAATATATTCTCCATCCAACGTGTGTAATATCGCTGTCCAAAGTCATACTGTGACTTTCCATATTAAAGCGGCTGATAACTCTCCACTCCGTGCTGCCAGCGCCTTCATCCAGAGTTCGTCTTCTGTGAGCGTCATGTATAATGGCAAAAATACCATTATCCCCCAGTCGGGTGCTTGGTATGATTCAGACGATGCCGGAACTCTTAACTTCATCATCCCAACGAACTCCCTTGGGAGTCAGGCACTCAATATCACGAGCCTGAAGGATCAGAATGGCGTCTTGGTTCCATTAACTCCAGTAGTGTTTGATCCCGGCAATAAAGCTATCCAGAAGTTATCGGAGAATCTTGCTCAATTAAACTCAGCGGCCGATTTGAGAAACGCCAAAACACAGAAAGATGAGCCCCTCTTCGGTAGTGATGCTCCAGATGATGCAACTCTAAGTCAGGCAATAACGAGCTTGCAAACTCTAAAGACAGCGTATGCGGATCTCCCAGCAGATGGATCAGCTCGTGCCATCATTACCCCCATCGTTCAGACACGAAGCGCTGATACACTCGATCTCGGAGACCTAATCATGGACGGCCTGAATTGGATAAAACATAAGGCAGAGGATGTCTGGGATTGGGCAGTGGAAAAACTTGGTAAGATTGAACATTTAATCTTCTTTCAAGTCTTGGAAATCCTTCAGACATCCAAACACTTGATCTGACTCTTAACCTAGGTGATGTGTGGCATTTCATCTGCAAAATCGGCGACGATATCAAGACATTCGTCCTAGATTGCGTAGAGAAAGTATGCGAGGCAGCTACTTGGGTAAGCACCTATCCACCCTGAACCATTGCTTCCAAAACCTAACCACATGCAGGTCTTCGAAAAGATCAAAATAGCATGGGACAAAGTGGTCGAATGGATTGGGTTCATTTTCTCCTGGGGTGACATACTCGAGACCAAAGATACTATCAGTTCAATTATCACTGCTGGTGTTGATCTCGCAGCCGATAAAGTAGGCTGGGTAGAAGGCAAAGTTGACGCTTTCTTCGTCTCTTTACTGGCAGATGTGGATAGCCTTGGTGTAGCTTATGATCCCTCGAAAGATATGAATGCAGGCTCCGGAGATAACTTGCAAGACGGGTCGCAGATCAGAGGTACACAGGAAAGTACTTCTTACAATTGGGCATCGGAAAGAATGAAGCATGGAGGTGCGGGAACTTCTACTGAAGTCAAGAGTAGTGGTAAATATTCCTTCAAATCTCCAAATATTTCTGCAGCGCAATTGTAACACAAGATAGAAACCCCCGATTCCGATGCTAAAGAAACATGGACGACTGTCTTTCAGCCTGCTTTCGATGGGATAAAGGACTCATTAATACAAGTAGGAGAAGACATTCGCACCGTCTTTGTTCAGAAACAGTCTATGACCGCTGGACAATTCATGACAATCTGTAAAGACGTCATAAAAGTCGGCATCGAAACGATTCGTGGCGTCGTCACCGCACTCCTGAAACTAGTCAAGATGCTTCTCGAGAAGATCTCACAATATGGAAATGCCTCCATCAACATCCCGATCTTCTCTTCTCTGTATGAATTGATCGCTCAGCACGATCTCACAATCTTCGATGCCGTATCTCTCGTTCTTGCCATTCCAACCACGATATTCATGAAGATTATCACAGGGCACAAACCTCCTACATTGCCAGGTCTCAACGGCACAATGCTCGGGCAAATCGTTCTAGGTGACGAGCCTAAGATATCGCCGGACATACAGCTTGACTTCAACACTCTGACAGCCGGCATCACCGTCTCAGGTGTAATGGTCAAAACCATCATCGATGCTATTAAATTGATTTACGCAAGTATAACTGAAGGAAGTGAAGGAGCCCTAAAGAAGTTCCAAGGACCAAGTGGCTTTTTCGAGGTATTCGCCATTGTTATTGATATGATAGGCGTGATGAATGCCCTACCAACGGATTCTGATCTTCCAGGATTGAGATTCAGACAATGGGTATGTTCTCCAATGTCATTTTTAGCAATCAAATAACTAACACATTCAAGGTATCCTATATCTCCCTCATACGTGGTTCTACACATCTTCTAGTCCTGTTCCTCGAAGGCGGCGAAGACGCCGAGAAGCCGCTACTCGTCTTCGATCTTGTATCTTCACTTGTGAACTTCGGGCTTGAACAAGCGGCTTGTATATCTGAAGTCGACGATGGGTCTAGCTGGAAAGACTATGATGGTGACGTAACATCGATGACGAGTGTGTCTAGCGGTTTGAATGCGATAGCCGCCGTTGGATATTTCACAGCCTTTATGTTTAAAAAGGACGAGGTGGAAGTCACGGCGGTGGGAATGGTAGTGCTGGAGATTGGGACTGTAGGCCTGGCTGTTGTGGAGGGTGTGATATTCAAGTGGCAATATGATAAAGACAGAAAGACGAGATTGATTATCCCGTCCTGAAAAAAACAGTTAGCATAAGAAAGTGAGCGATCAGCTTTCAAGATAATCTAACTGACCCATACGATTGAATATTGAGCGCTTGACACTCATATTTATACGCAAATCTTTCCCGATTCTCCGCGACGAAATGTCCAACAAGTGGTCATGATGAATGATTAATTCTTTGGGCGTGAGATCTGACTAGTGTAGGATTTCTCGTCTCCGCCAGGCAATTTTGGTGGTGTTTTGAACCCCTGGCGGTCAACGACAGCCTTATATTGTACGCGTGCATTCCCCTACGCATCCCTATAGCGGAGTACGTGGCACGCTGCAGTATATTTCGTCAAGTTGGAGCACTAAAACTGTACCGATAGAAATTTCGAGATGTGGAGCAGGCACTTGAATGGTTCTCAGAGGGCAAATCGCCGATGTCGGACGGAATTCTATCCAGAATTTGTGCCTTACTCGAAACTTCCGTCGTTTTTGAAGGCATGGGAGAAGAACTTACGTACAAAATTGTGAGTTTAGCTTATGGATTCGTTCGTGACGACAAGTCAACAAATATCTAAATGAGATGAAAGACCAAATAAAGATGCAAGTTCGGTCTTTAGAGGAGAAAGTACTGGTATGTTGCTTTCAAGTCTATTGCTTAGAGATTGAAAGAAATATGTTTCGCAGAATGTTGGAGGTGATTGGTAGGGTTTGAGAGCAACACAATTCCCTACCTGCTCCAATCTCGGAATAGATGTTCATCCCTTTTCACTGACTTCAGTGTCATTAATATTGAGGGGAAACCATGAATACGAACAGTGATTGATCAGATATCGAGATTGACTGGTATCTGTTTGTGGATATAAAAGAGATGTAGATTGCTAATGTGGGCGACGGCCAACATAAGGACTTCGCTTAGTAAGCTACGCTAAGCTAATCTAGCTAGTGTAATCATGTGATATGACAATAATGGTGATCTGTATCAAGTCACGTGATAAAATGCTTGTGGTTAAGGAAATGTTTGATTGATTAATAAAGTACGATAACAAGGGGCCACAAATAGGATATTTCTAGGGGTGAAGCTTAGCTGTTTCGTACCTTTCTTCTATGGGGGCAAGCCCCCAAACCCCCAATGCTCACTTCGTTCGACGGTGTACTGCACGGACCATCTCACGTGCGTGCCGTTTTTCACGTGGCATTGGCTTTGTAATCAACACGTGACACCCACCACGCCTCAAATAGCTCCCCCCCTGCAAAGAATCTCCAATAGAGAAGCTAAAGCTTCAAAAAGATAATGTGTTCGACAAAGGATGATACAGCAAGTCGGAGCTAAATAATGCCAATCGCAAGCTCTTTCCACTCCATTTTAACTCATTGTCTGAATGTGTATGCTTGTCATTTTCTTCTATTCTAATATCAACTACACGATTCCTTCCCATTCTCTCGTTACCTTCTGGTCATGGGCACCCCAAGCTAGAAATTTCTTCTTCAATGCAATCAATCGTACCCTCTTCCTTTCCACCAACGCCATTTCTTGTTCATTCTCTTCAAGCAACTCTTCAATATCTTCTACCGAGGAAGTCAAGAATACATTCTCATTGCTGAGGTGTTTGCGGAATGACGTTTTTGGTCTTGTACGTCGACCAGTCGGTGATAGATCATCTTGACTTTCAGATGCTATTATAAGTAAGTAAGAAATTACAAAGAGCAACGAGAAATAACTTACTGGAAGTTGAATTAGATGCCTCACAACGCTTACGCTTCTTACTTGATGTAATCGAGCTTTCTGCTACATGTTAGATTAGCAAGGTTAAGATAAAACTTGAAGACTTACTGGAGGATGACAGGTTTTGATCCTTTTGCACCTTTCGAAGAGTCACTGATGGGGTTGATTCCTCCCCACTCGATTCGGTTAAATCGATGACAACAAGCTCTGGTAGATGCTGTACAGATATAGTCGTATTCAACTGCTCTGTCTCTACCTCGGAAGGTTTGGATACGATAGCCTCGTCGTCAGCCACTTCTGATTCTTCCGAATCCTTCGAAAGAGACTCTGACTCGCAGGCAGTCTCATCTAACACTCTCGAGACTGAAGCCTCCAAAATATTGGGGAGAGACTCAGATTCACAAACACCCTCATTGTCGACAACCCCAGTAGCTACTGGGCATGTCGGAATAGAGAGTTTTGGAGTGGTTTCCGCCGACAAGTCCGAAGGTACTTTCATAGTTGAATCAAGTACGCCAGATGAAGAAGGCTGAGCGAGGTCTGACGATGCTTCTTTCACTGGTTGGACATCCTTTTCGTCAGAGGAGTCGATTTGAGTACAAAATTCCTCAAATAACATATCCATACTTGCATCTGCAGAGTACTTGTGAAGATCAAAGTTGTTTAAGAACTCGTTGTCAGATTGCCAGGAGTCGGCTACGCTGCTGCTGCTGCTGTCTTTGAGCTCCAATGGTTGATCTGTTGAAGTCACAACGATGGAAGATGTTGAAGTCATAGTGATAGGTTGGTAAATGAGATGGAAAATGTTTTGATTGAAAAGAAAGATGAATGAACAACCTCAGAACTGGATATAAGTCGCCTTCTTATACTCGTTCTCTCTCGGGGATCACCGAACATCAGGGGTCATATCACAGTCTCCTAGCCCTATTCGAGGCAGTGTGCAACATACCTTTCTCAACATACCACTACCTAGAATGATGATAGGATGGCGAGAAGTGGTTCAGGATCTTTAGCTTGAGCACAAGCAGGGACAATATACATGTAGGGGTGTCTCTTGCATAGAGCATGAAGATGATATCAGCTAGGCAGATTTATCTTGTTGTAGACGCCTGTCTAGTACTATTTTGGACTCCTTAACCTCGTTCCTATCACAATGATACATCTTCTTAATATACTACTAAAACCAATACAGGTGCAAGTCTCAGCTTCTCGGTGATTATTCCTACCGAGGAATTTTCCTTGCTACATCGAGACAACAATCAATTTCATCCCTCCCTCCTTTCCTATCATCCTTGAAGCTCGGTAAGTGTTTTTGAGCGAACAGCCATTCCACTCAGCCTAAGATATCTAGCATATGCAAGGTGGAAGAAGTAACGACATACTAGAAGGAGATAAAGAACTTAGATTCTACTCTTCTATACAAACTCGTCATCACTTGAAGCATAATGTACACGATATCACAACATGGATCTCGTAAGCTCATTGACAATCCCCACTTGCAGGCTGTCTTCGAGGCCAAAGAGTTTTTCAATTATTCTAACCTTCCAATGAAATTCGAACCTTTGGAGAACAAGGTAGGACTTTCACA